GCCGGGCCTGCGGGCGGGGGCGGGGGACCCGCCGCGTGAGGCGAGCTGGGCTGAGGGCCCGACCTGGCCCGGCCCGGCGGAACTCGCCCCGAGTGCGGCGGCCTCTTTTGTCCGGGCTCCCGCCGCCTTTCCCCCACCCCAACCCTGTCACTTCTGGGAGTCCCGGAAAAATGATTTAAAAAACCCCCGAGAATATATATATTTTTTTTGAATCGGAGAGGAAACAATCAAAAAAACCAAAAACAAGCCCCGGTTTTGTCGGCCCTTTTCGTTCAGTCAGAGCAGCCCCGCTCACGGCCAGCTCGTGTCGCGACCGGGCAGCCAAACTCCTCCAAAACCGTCTGGGACAAGGATTTCACGAGCGAGGGGTTTTTTCCCCCCAAGGAGGAAGAGCGAGTCCTTAAAAAAAGTGGAAAAGTTTGGGGGGTGTGGGGGAAAGTGTTGAGGGAAGGGTGTGTGGTTTTTAAAAATAAAAAATAAAACAATCTGCGGATCTCGCTCCCCTTTTCCACGAAGGAGCTGGGGACTCCTCCTCTGCTGTATAAAGACCCCACAGAGGATTATGAGTCTGGGCAAAAAAATAAGCCGCGGGGCACCGCGTAGGAAGCCGGGTGGTCGGTCTGCAAAAGGAGCGTGCGTTTTTGTTTGGTTGTCTCTGCGTTTGCTTGCTAACGAGCCCAGACTGAGAGTGCGGGAGATATTGTTCAAGCCCCTATCTTCCAGCCTTAGCAATTGTCCCGGGAGCGACCAGCTGCCTAAAGCGTTTCAGAGATTTTTTGGGAAACATTGGCTTGTCTTGGGAAGGACCCTCCGAGGGGATGGAGGTGTTTTGGACTCGGTCCACCGTAACGTGATTTAAACGTCGGGTCAGTTGTTTTAAGGAAGTTGTATGAGCTTAGGGAAAGTTGTTAGAAGCGCCGAGTTGAACCGACGTGTTGTCAGGTCTCGAGTCTCTTCCCAGGCAAGTACTTGGTGTGGTTTTAATGGTCCTTTTCGATTGGGAAAAGCAGTGTGGGGACGCTCGAATGCTCAAACTGACTGGAATTAAAATCCACGTAGTTTTTTTAAGGTAGTTTACTCTTCGGATCTGTCCGATGGTGTATAATCCTAATTTTTTTTTGCTTTACGAAACTAGCAGCCTTCTGTTTTGGCTTGAACACTTCAAGGATTCATTCGATAATCAATGTGTAATACCTATTTCTTTTCTGTTCGTTATCTCTAAATGAGATGGTAATTAAAAAAAAAATGGATTTCAGGAACTGGATTCAATTAGCATTTTTTTTTCAGGACATAAACATGAAAGGTTTAGATGGAAAACATTGTTTTGACTGACTGGATAAATGGCAGGGTAGTGTTTGATGCGAGTCCAAGAACTGATCTGGAGCTAATGCCCAACCTCTTGGTCCATCTCGAGGAGCCAAATAAAATATTTAACCTAGGCCTCATTTTGCAGAAAAGGTTGATTCTTTGTTGGGACCTTAAGCAAGTTCTGAGAAATGTTTGGCATACCTTTACACTAAGTGTTTAACGGTTTATTTAAGTCTGGGTTCCATAATAGAGGAAAAACCACTGTGGTGGCATACTTCTAGTAAGTTTTTATTTAGCTTACAGTGCATCCCGGCTGTTTCTTCAGTTGCTTTTAGCTTTATTTGTATGTCATAAGTATCCCCTAATCCCTTAATGACACACATCAGAGTCTCAGGCACAGCCCTGAGCCAAACAGTTGCCAGATAGCAGACAGTTGCGAAAATCTGCAAAAATAGCCTGGTGAAGATTTCTCATGAGAATAATAAATGCTGGATTTCATTAAGAACGTAACTAGTATAATTCAAGCTAGTGTCAGCTCAGAAGTTGGTCATAAGGTTGTGTATAACTGTGTTTCCCAAAACTTTCCAGTCTTGCTACCACTTCCTCAGCTCTGTCCCTTGGACCAGTAGAGTAGGTTGGGCTTCTGCAGCCAGGGATGTTTTTTGCCACTCCACCTTTCCCCCAAATTCAGTTTTCTAATGTGATTTTTTTTTTTTTTTAACTAGTCAGAACTTCCATGATTTCTTGAATGTAGAAGTGAATCTAAACTACTTGAAAACTGGCTCAAGCTGAAACTTTGAGTTTTTGGTTGGAATATAGTATTACGGTAGGAATATCGCAGCGTTTGCTTGGAATACAGTATTAATACAGTGCAGTGTGGGCAGGGAGAATCTTTTATTCTTTGAGGACTAGACAAGGATATTGTATACAGCTGCAAAGCTGCTTTTCCAGTAGCGTCCAGTAAGTACATTTGGGCTGTAATTTATGATTTACCTTTTAAAATAATAAATGCAGTGACTAAGTGCCTTTACTTAGGGATATATTTGGTAGCTGTGTTGGTCTGAGATGAAAAGAAAGGCAAAACTCTAGAACTCCGGCTTCAGAGATGATATCTTTTATTAACCCAACTAAGAAATCGCCAAAAAAATATCTTTTTGTACTTGGGGAGAATACCAATCAAAATGACACCAGTAATTTTTTAAACCTAGAAAAGTATCACAAAAATGTAAGTGAAATCTGTCAGTTACTGTGGTATAGCCTCATACATATTGGGGAAAGGTGACAGACAGACTGGGTTGATCACCTTTGCATAGTTCCTTGTGGTTACGTGCCAACTTGTGTGGTATTTGTGGCATAGCATAATTGGTAAACTTTTCCAGAGAGAAAACTAGAAGTAGAATAACAGTCTCTTGTGGGTTAGGAATGAGAAACAATTCACACTGAACAGTCTGGGGAAGTCAGTAGAGGGCCTGCCTTCTCCTTATTTACTGTACACTTGTGGAGCCTTGACAAAAACATGGAGAAATTAGATCTCTCTTTTCTATAAAACTGCCAGTGTCTCATCTTTTGTTTTACTGTGTCTTCTGTTGAGTCTGTGAAATGTTCATTTTTCTTCATACAAAGATGGCATTGTACCTCACAATAGGGTCTGTAGTGCTGAACCAAAAAAGTCCTACTTCTCAAAACACTGTGTAGTATTATGATGAGAGCCCCTGGCAACTGATCTGATAATATTCATTGGGGAAATTATCTGTTGTGAGAGGGAACGCTCTTGAATTTTGCAAGATAAAAAGGGATACGGCATCCTATTTTTTTTTCCAGTGGATTAATCTTGCATTTCAGTAGGGGAGTGAGTAGATTTTTGTGGTGGTGGGATGAATCCTGAAGCAGCCTACCTGCACTTGGGACCCTTGTGTCATGCCCTGTGACTTCCCCAGTGAAAGAAGACTTCAGCTATTTGGTGGCCGGCCCTAGGGCACTCACCCTTTCTTTCTCCATTTAAATGACAGCCAAGCTAAAAGTGCATTTGCTTTGTCTGTCTATAGGCAAAGTAGATCTCTACGTTTTACTTAGTCCTTAAAAATGAAATTTTCCATTTTACTGTGGAATAACAAGATAGAACATTCTTTAATCTACAGCTTTCCAAAATGTTCCTATTCCAAGCCAGAGCGCCAGTGTGTGGTGAAATGCCTACTTGTATCATGTGTGTTCTATAAAACTCTAGTCATAAACTTTAATTAGCTTTGTTGGGTGGGGAGAAGTAGAACCAGGGTATGGTGTGTGCAAGTAAGAGTCTCTCATTCAATAATGCTTTGCCTACAATGAATGGATTACAGATTTGCTTGATAAAAATACCTGCATCTGTGTAAGGTACTTAGGTTTATGTTAGTACCTTGTGACATTCTGATTTAAAAAAAAAAAAAAGAGTAGTATTCACTCTCAGTAAAGCACACATTAAATGGATGAAGCTGATGGAATTCAAAAGGTAGCAACTGAACTGATGGGGTTCTTTTTCCTGAAAATTTCATTGTGTGAACCACACTTAAACTGTCTGGTGCTGGATCAGACCTTCAGCCTTTCCATGGAGATAAGGACAGAAGGTTGAGCCCTAAGCTTTAAGAGACCATGCTGTGCTCTTGTTTCTCATACTCCTTGTGATGTTATTTTTGTTTGTCATCTTCCTTAAAATGACCTTTTCACCATCAGGGAGAGCCTGAGTGGCTGATAGTTTATTCTGGATGCAAGAGTAGCTACTGTTAGCTGTTTTCTGTTCCTGGTCTTGGTTGAGCACATTCTCTTCTTACCAGATAATCCTGGGGTACTTCTGAACCTCAGCCCAACTGCTCTTGTATTATCAGCTATACCTTTCTTCAGTTGTGTTGAACTACGAGATTGTAGTTTCTTTAAATTGACCTTTCCATTGTCAAGCACTGCTTTTTGGCTTCCAGAAGCTTTTCGTAATTTTTTTTTTCTTTTGAAAACCATTTGGAAATAAAATATCAGTTAGCACAGAAGGCAGTAGTCACATCTGCTTAATGGAACGATCACGTTAATTCTGCTACGTGCAGTGCACTGGCCTTCTGTCTTCTTCTGGGTGTAATTCAAGATGTGTATTAATCTATACAAATCTATATTTTGCTGTGTATAACAAGCTTTCTCCCTTCATGTTGTCATGATGGCTGAAATCATTTGAGTGACATGAGGACTTTCTCTTTCTTCATGAGGGGATGGGACAAGGTGGGGCTCTATATTTTATGTGAAAGCTCAAGAGCTGACTGTAAATGTAGGGGTATGCATTGGTTGGCTATTGGATTGGCATCAGTAAAAGTAGAAATGATGTTATTGACTAGTGATTTATTTGGGACATTGTAGCTGATGATTACGGCCACATGTCTAGAGCACTGTG